ATTTGAAGCACAGATCATATAGATCTTAAAATTTGGCTATTAGAAAATGATAAAANATATATATATATATCTATATATATATAGATATATATATATATATAGTTTCTTCATAAGCAATGATGTATGCATGTGTGTATACATATATATATTACTTCTTTGTGTATGGCCATATTTATATGCATGAATATATATAAAATTTTCACCTTCTTTGGAAATAGGAATGTGGATGTTACTTATTTGAAGCACAGATCATATAGATCTTAAAATTTGGCTATTAGAAAATGATAAAAAATATAATTGATGTAAATGTGAACTACTGCAAACTGTAGAGTTGACCAAATGCCAACAAGCTTAGTTATAATGATGACATTAAAATAACGGTAATTTATAAGTAATAAACAAGAATTTAAGCATATACAACAAAGATAACAATAACTACCTTTCCAAAAATTCTGTTACTTCTACTACCTGGAAGTACCTAGTCAGTGTAGGGACATTGCAGCTTTGGAAGGCAGCGTGTGAAGCCAGAGTCCTTGGGCAGTTTGGGGTCCAGTTTAGGGGGTGCACTTTGCTCGTGTGATATTCACCCCAATAATGCGTAATGATGTCAATCAAATCACATCATGAGGAAATATCAGACAAGCCCAAATTATGAGTGGCTCCACAGAATACCTGACCAGTGCTCTGCAGGAGTGTCAAGGTCATAAAGGACAAGGAAGGACTGAGGAACTCCTACAGGTTACAGGTGCTGTGACAACTAAGTGCAACGTGGGATCCACGATCGAATCCTAGATAAAAAAGGAACATTAGTGGGAAAACTGGAAAAATCCAAACTAAAGCCCACAGTTTAATTACCACTAGTTTCTAGTATTGTAACATTGTTAACTTATTAGTTTTGACAATTGTACTATGATTATCTAAGATGTTGACATGAGGGGAAGGAAGGTGAGGGATATATAGGAACCTTCTATTTTTGCCTATGTTCTATAAGTCAAATTATTTCACAATACAAAATTGAAGAAAAAGTACTTTTATTTAGTAATGTGTGGACATTTTGCAAGAGCTTAGCATTTAAATATATATATAAACTCTCAACTTAGTCAAACTCTTCAGCATGTATTCCCCCATACATATTTTTATGGTCTAGCTATAATAAATGATTTATTGTTGTTTATTAGCTTCTTTGGGGGGAGAGGGGATCAGAATACAATTTTTGTATGTGTTACAAAATATTTATAACCAATGTAACAACTATCTGTGTACATCTCTTTTTAAGATCACCCCAAATACAACGAGCGAAGCCCCGCTGTGTTCCCTTCCTTTAGGATGTACCCCCCTCTGGTCCCTTCTACCTCCACCGCCACACCACCAGCGCGTAGACAGTCGTTGACATTTCTGTTTATTAATCCGGTTTCATTAGTTTGTACTTTTCCAAACTTGACCTAAATTGCATCCTTTCATATCACATCTGCAGCGTTTTGCCCCCACGTGTCTGGTGCACTCTTTCACCGCAGTATAGGATTTCACTGTGTGAAGACCCAGCATTTATTCACTCTCCCCCCAGCAAGCATATTGAGGGAAAGAGGGGGCGGGGGTTGATTTACTGATGGTTGTTCATTTTTTAAAGGCTTTTCTGAGACCAAAAGAGATCTCTACTCCTGAACTCCAGTAACACAACTTTTAAGTTAGCATTTATGCCCTTTCATTACAATTATTATTCTTTTTCTTTTCTATCAGATGGAAAGTTCCATCCCCAAGATGAACATTACTGGGATAATAAGGATTTGAGTTTGTTGAATGAATAAGTAAATGCTTAAATGAGTCACACTCTGTCTTTGTGCAGCTCTTTAGCATATTTGTGTTTGTTCGCTTAGTTATATGGTGTTGCCTCCTGGGGGCTTTTCTTTTTTAGAAAGATTTATGCGATGTGGGTAACAGGCTGCCGAGGTGGAAATGTGGAACATAAATAAAGACAAAAACTTTGCACTGAGAAATGTTATGCTAAGTTTGCAGGCAAGGCAGGAACGGGTATTTTGTGTTTAACATCCCAGGGGAACGTTTGGCAGAATCTGGTAATTTTACCTGCATTTGGCATTACAAAGCG